AAAAAAAAAAAAAAAAAAAAGGGCTGGGCGTGATGGCTCACGCCTGTAATCCCAGCACTTTGGGAGGCCGAGGCAAGCAGATCACTTGAGGTCAGGAGTTGAAGACCAGCCTGGCCAACATGGTGAAACCCTGTCTCTACTAAAATACAAAAATTAGCTGGGTGTGGTGGTGGGCACCTATAGTCCCAGCTACTTGGGAGGCTGAGGTAGGAGAATCACTTGAACCCAAGAGGTGGAGGTTGCAGTGAGCTGAGATTGCACCACTGCACTCCAGCCTGGGTGACAGAACGAGACTCCATCTCATTCTGCAATGACTTCTAAGAGTTAGAAACACAGATTTTGAGAGATAATGTAGCTTGCCCAAGGTCACATAGCAATTTTGTTGCACATTCGGGCTAAAACCCAAGCCTGCCTAACTCCCAGTACATGATGCTTTCTTCTCCCTGGCCATGACCTTGACCTTTGTCTCATCTCCCTCCTGCTTTGCCTCTTTTCAGTCTCTGTCTAGTAGGATGAACTCAGAGAACCTCACCTGGGCCATGGGTGCCCCTGGTGAATTCATCCTCCTCGGCATCACGAATCGCCAGGACCTGTATGTGGCCCTCTTCCTGACCTGCCTGCCTGTCTACCTGGTGAGTCTGCTGGGAAACATGAGCATGGCGCTGCTGATCCGCGTGGATGCCCGGCTCCACACACCTATGTACTTCTTCCTGGCCAACCTCTCCCTGCTGGATGCCTGCTATTCCTCCGCCATTGGTCCCAAGATGCTAGTGGACCTGCTGCTGCCCCCAAGCCACCATCCCTTACACAGCCTGTGCTCTCCAGATGTTTGTCTTTGCAGGTCTGGCTGACACCGAGTGTTGCTTACTGGCAGCCATGGCCTATGACCGCTATGTGGCCATCAGAAAACCGCTTCTCTATACAACAGCTATGTCACAGCAACTATGCCTGGCCTTGCTGGGTGTTTCGGGCCTGGGTGGGCCAGTGAGCGCCTTCGTTCACACAACCCTCACCTTCCGACTGAGTTTCTGCCACTCCCGGGAGATCAATAGCTTCTTCTGCGACATCCCTCCACTGCTGGCCATCTCATGCAGTGACACCAGTCTCAATGAACTCCTTCTCTTCGCCATCTGTGGCTTCATCCAGACAGCCACGGTGTTAGCTATCACAGTGTCTTATGGTTTCATCGCTCAGGCTGTGATCCACATGCACTCAGTCGAGGGCCGTCGACAAGCAGCCTCCACCTGTGGATCCCACCTCACAGCTGTGGCCATGATGTACGGGACACTCATTTTCATGTACCTGCGCCCCAGCTCCAGCTATGCCCTGGACACTGACAAGATGTCCTCTGTGTTCTATACCCTGGTCATCCCGGCTCTCAACCCGCTCATCTACAGCCTCCGCAACAAGGAGGTCAAGGAGGCCCTCAGGCGGACCTGGAGCCGATTCCGCTGTCCAGGACAGGGGCCCCAGTGATTGGTCCAGGGAGGCTGGGTAGGTCTGTCTATGAGGGGATGAGGAGGATGCTCTTTCTGGCCACAGTCACTGTCTGTAAAGATGGGATGTTCCTCTGGCTTCGATGTCTCTTGTCATTGTTTAAGGGACAATAAAGGAGGAAATGGAAGCTTATAGCAGGGAGGAAAAGACTTGGGGTTCATCCAGGGCTAGACGTAGAGCCAGAGCCTAGACCAGGCTAATGTTGCTGTTGCACTGCCTCAGGTTCTTCAACATTCAAAACATAAACGTTCAGCCCAGTGCAGTGGCTCATGCCTGACATCTGTAACTCCAGCACTTTGGGAGGCTGAGGCAGGAGTGCAAGACCAGCTTGGGGAACCCGTCTCTACAGAAAAAAAAAATTGTTAAAAATAAGCTGGGCATGATGGTATACTATGCAGCCATAAAAAAGAAAGAGATCAGGGCTGGGCACGGTGGCTCATGCCTGTAATCCCAGCACTTTGGGAGGCCAAGGCAGTGGATCACTTGAGGTCAGGATTTTGAGACCAGCCTGGCCAATATGATAAAACCCCGTCTCTACAAAAAATACAAAAATTAGCCATGTGTGGTGGCGCGCACCTGTAATCCCAGCTACTTGGGAGACTGAGGCCAGAGAATCACTGGAATCCGATAGAGGAAGGTTAAAGGGAGCCGAGATTGCAGCACTGCACTGTAGCCTGGGCAACAGAGCAAGACTCCGTGAATAAGAAGAAGATGAAGAAGAAGGAGGAGGAGGAGGAGGAGGAGGAGGAGGAGGGGACTTTCCCAAAGCCTGGGCCCCTTCTGTCACATCATGCTCTTCTAACGGTCATCCTCAGGCATTTAGAACACATTCCACCATTTCCTACAGACTGAGGGCAATCCAGGAGGGTGTGATATCCACAGGACTTGCCTTGTGTGGATGAGCCCTTCCTTTTAGTCATATGGCCATGAGTTCTCAAAGAAATTGACTTCTCAACTGGGACAGGAATAGAGAAGTTTACACAGGAGGCCCTCTGCACATCTGAGATGAATAAACGACTCTATGTTCATACTAACACACATTTAGAAGAAGTCCATTTTTCTTATTCTTTGTTCTTTGCCTTGTTTGCTCTCATGGCACCTGTTCTGCCATACCTGCCGTTCTGCAGAAGGAGCACATTGTGAACATGCATGGTCAGGAATGAATGAAGCAAAGCTGAGAATGAAGGGCATAAGTGTTAGGGGCAGATGAAAGAGGCATTGTATAAGGCTTCATCATTTGCCAGCACTTCACTTATTTTTTACCCACAAAAAGCATGAGTATTCTTATTATCACTTCATGAATGAGGAAACTGAGGCTCCAAGCTGGTAACCTAGTAAGTGCTGGAGCCAGAACAAGCCCTTATGCCACTTGGGTCACTCAGGTGTGTTTTACTGAGCCCTACAGAATCCACGCCCCAGGTTTTGGTGCCTCCGTGGAAGCACTTACAGGAAGACGTCTCAGACCGGAGCAGGTGCACAGCGTCAAGTAAGGACACATTTTGGGGACTGAAAGGGCCTGAGGTACCCGAGATTTTACCAAACAGGTTTATGAGGCGGGAGCTCTTAGGTCTGTGTTTCTCTAAGAAATCTGCACCCACTTCCCCACCCCCTAGTCCCAACTCCACTCCTACCCCCATTCCGCTGCTCCAGAAAGGAGGAGAGACAGCTACAGCATCCTAGACCCAGCCCCTTCCAGGTCACTCAGGTGAATCTGCCACTAATGGGTCCCAGAATTGCTGCACTGTGCTGTTTAGATCAAAAGGAACCTTAAAGGTCTTAAGACTGGTAGCTTTAACCAAAAAAAAAAAAAAAAAAAAAGTAAGAAAGAAAGAAAAAAAAAGAAAACAAACAAACAAAACATATTATTTACATAGAAACACAACATATAGGCCAGGCACAGTGGCTCACGCCTGTAATCCCAGCACTTTGGGAGGCCAACGCAGGCAAATCTCAACGTCAGAAGTTCAAGACCAGCCTGGCCAACATAGTGAAACCCCATCTCTACTAAAAATACAAAAAATTAGCTGAGCATGGTGGCAGGTGCCTGTAATCCAAGCTACTAGGGAGGCTGAGGCAGGAGAATCACTTGAACCTGGGAGGTGGAGGTTGCAGTGAGCCCAGATCTCACACCATTGCACTCCAGCCTGGGTGACAGAGCAAGAATCTGTCTCAAAAACAAATAAATAAATTAATTAATTAATTAAATTTAAAATATATATATATACACACACACATACATATATATAAAACAGGTGGAGGAGAAGCCTTCACTTGATAAATGGGGAAACTGAGGCCCAGGCTGGTTAAGGGACCTGCTCAAGAACACATAGAGTCAATGGCAACCTTCAGGCTTCCTTGTTCAACCTGCCAGTGCCCCAAAGCCTGGCTCTGCCATGACATGGAGAGCATCCTTTCCTGGCCTCCCCTCCTCCCTCCCACACCCGGGTTATTTGTTGGTGCTGTGATGCCAGATCCTTGCTACTCTGTCAATAACTTCTCCCCTGCCCCCAGGATCTACTTCCTCCCCTCTGACTTCTCTAAAACTTCAAAAACATACTACTGGCCGTGATGCACATTCACCCGTGCCCGGAAACACCTGTGCCACCAGTCCCCCCGTACGGCTTGGAGTCAGCAGCTAACCATCAGGGACCTTGCCGGAGGCATCTCTGGTCCCTTGAACCTAGCACAGAGAACATGCCCGTGATGTGCTGTGGCCTTGTGCATCACATGGTCTCCTTCCAGGTGAGCCATCTGCATCAGCAAGGGGAAAGCGGCGGGGCAGGGGCAGCGGGTTGTTGGTGTTCCTGTCTTCTGGGTCACCAGCCCTGCCCCAGCCATCCTGCTCAGGTGTCAGCCCAAAGAACAGGCCGCATCACTGAAGGGGCAGCTAACTCTCACTGGTCCCCACTGCCTATGGGGTAGCTTTTGTCCTTGGACTCTGACCATCAGCAAGCTACCTCTGCCTCAGCATGGTCAGTGCCTTCTACAAAATGACCATGACCAGAAACACAGGCACCTCCAGGTCTCACAATAGCCCAGTGCCAAACCCCCATTTTGGATGTCAGGAAACAGAGACTCAGAGAAGTGAGGAGGCGCGGCCTGGTTCCTTCAATCAGCCAGTTTAAGTTGTAATTCTCCTGCCCTTGGTATCACATTCTTTCCACCACACCATAAATCATCACCCAAGTCAAGTCAATACATATGTATTAGCCGGGCACAGTGGCTCACGCCTGTAATCCCAGCACTTTAGGAGGCCGAGGTGGGCAGATCACCTGAGGTCAGGAGTTGGAGATCACCCTGGCCAATGCAGTGAAACCCTGTCTCTACTAAAAATACAAAAATTAGCCATGCATGGTGGTAGGCACCTGTAATCCCAGTTACTCAGGAGACTGAGGCAGGAGAATCGCTTGAACCAGGGAGGTGGAGGTTGCAGCGAGCTGAGATTGTGCCACTATACTCCAGCCTGGGCAAAAGAACGAGACTCCATCCCAAAAAATAAATAAATAAATATACATTGATCACTTGCTCTGTGCCAGGCACTGGGTTAGATGCTTAATCTACCTCCAGACACCCCCCAGACAATCAGGAGAAGGGAACGGTGGAAACGTAAATAGCCCAGTCTACTGTGGCTCCCTGGACCACCTTCCCACCCCACTGCAACTAGACCTGACCTCTTATTTTAATTCTGCTAGCCCTAGAAGACGAAGTGACCTGGAGACAAGATGAGGAATCCTTTCCCTGTACCCAGAGAAGCCACTAAAGACTTCATAAGTCCACTGAAGCAGTTTTTCCTGGATCTTTTTCACATGAAATAGAGAGACCAAGCCGACGCAGTGGTTCACACCTATAATCCCAGCATTTTAGGAGGGCAAGGCAGGTGGTTCACGAAGTCAGGAGTTCGAGACCAGCCTGGCCAACATGGTGTAACCCCGTCTCTACTAAAAATACAAAAATTAGCCGACCATGGTAGCAGATGCCTGTAATCCCCGCTACTCAGGAGGCTGAGGCAGGAGAATCGCTTGGACCTGGGAGGCAGGGGTTGCGGTGACCTGAGATCACACCATTGCACTATAGCCTGCAGACAGAGGGAGACTCCATCTCAAAA